TGGGATGGGATGGGATGGGATGGGATGGGATGGGATGGGATGGGATGGGATGGGCTGCCCAGGGCCCGGCTGTAGCAGGGACACATCACCCCCCAGCTGGGCTGGGCTCAGCCTGTACCTCTCTTTAGGAAAGTCACTCTGATTGCTGTGCCCGGGTGTCACCAGGGCAGCAGCAGACTCTGGAAGCCTTTGCGGGGTGTTGATGCCGAAGTGATTTTTTGCCTTTTCTTTTATATACGTTTTATTTAGCCTCAGTACCATTAGCATGTGTGCTTGTAATTCCTGAAGTCTGATAACTTAGCATAGTACTGGTATTTGTTAGGCCAGGAGACCAAACATCCTAAAGGCCTTGTAGTAAAAGGCCAGAAAACCCTACCCTGCCTTGGGAAACCAAGGGCCTCTCTAGAACATATCCTGTAAACTGGAGATTTGGCCCATCCTGGGGGATTTCCTCAGATGGGGGATTGTCACACCATTCATCCAGGCCTTCCACTGGGGCACCCTTGTTAGATCTGCTGATTTGTGAGGTCTATAAATTGTACACATGATCTATCGGGGGTGTGCATGTGGCACATCCCACCTTGGCCAGACAGGGCACCAGAAGGATCCTTATTAAAATACCAAGGTAAAAACCCCTTATCCCTTAACTGTGGCTCGCTCTGAATTTTTAAAAACCAGGAAAAGGCACCAGTGTCATTGCAGAGGACTCAGGGCTGCTCGGGTGCGTGGGGACCTGGGGACCTGCCCTGCAGGGACCCTGCCAGTCCCCAACCAGACACACGTGTGCCAGCAGTGCTGCCGTGCTCCCATGTACAGCCTGCTCTTCCTCTCTAGTGGCCATCTGCCATGGAAAGCAGCATTTGACACTAAAAAGATGTCATCTTGTCATCACGTCATCCCTGCAAAGCGGGTTCAGGCATCCAGCCTAGGCTCAGGTCACAGGGCCAAACATTAGGGGCATAAATTTGCTACTTACTCAGAGAAGAAAGGGGTGTGTGCAATTCAGAGCACCTAAATTTGAGGCCTGAAGCAGCACAATGCACCAAAGGAACAGTTTGCCTCCCTATGCCCTGCTCTTTTCAACCTCTGCAGTGTTTAAACTGCAGAGCTGGCTACTTTCAAAAACAAATACTGAATTGAAAAGCTGACATTACATTATGGGCATCTAAGTTTATAATCAGTGTTAGATAGTTGCAGAGGTCTGGGCCAAAAATACACAGATTAGTTTCTTTTGCATCATTGCAAACACTTAAAGAATATTTTTTGCCACAGCGTTTAATTTTATTTTCAACCACAATTATTAGGGTCTTACTCTAAAAAAACCATAGTTCACATAGGATGAGTTCCCAAATCAAAATTCAAGCAACTTAGGAATTAAAACTTATTAAAGAACCAGCATTTAGAGTATTGCTGAGGTTCTGTTCTTATTTCATACTACTTTAGCATTCTGGCTTGGCAAAAGGATCTAGTCAGTTCAGTAGAAATCAGTATAATGATCCCAATATTAACAAAACCGAACAACAGGGAATATGATTTAGAGGTAGTACCTGTCAATTTTGAAAGATCATCTTTTGGCTTATGTGCACTCCTGCTGTGTGTACGTGAGAAAAAGCTTCTTTCATGTTTTTCCAGATCAGTTAGAAGTATCTCCCAATCCAGCTACAAGTTAATGAGCCCAAGTCTGCTCTGACTGCTGTCTCACAGACAGGACAGGACATCTCTCTGTGCATCATGGACTTCCTGGAGAATCCTCAGCTCCCAGGGGATAAACAGAAAAGCAGTCAGAGCAAACAGCTTTACCTATAGGCCTACAGCTAAGGCTGTAGTATATTAATGGTTGCCACAGAAAATACGAAACTGATTATTTGCCATGAAATGAGAGGGCTGATTCTCCCCAGCTCTACACACTCCTGGCAGTGTAAAGAATCTGCTTCTTGCCTTTGCTCTCTGATCACACCAGGAAAATCTGCCTTACCTTTCTCTTCATCCTCTTTTTCACATGACTTAGATTGTGTATATGATCAAGGCAAAAAGGTACAAGGAGACTTAACACCTGACTGACCTTGGCCATACTGTCACACACCAATATGACTGCACAAACAGGAGAGTACTGTACTCACTTCATCAATAAACAAATCACTTCTAGCAGCTACCATCCCACCAATACTGCTGGCAGGTAAATTTTTGTCCAGAGCAACTCTTTTAAATATACTCCCAATGACCCAACTTACTAAGCCAATAGGGTTTTATAATAATTACTTAGATAATTGGCTCCTTTTAGTGGCTGTAATGGGAAATGTTCACTTCTTGGTACTATCCTTTTGGGGTTCTACAACAGGAATACAAGTTTTTGTAAAACTCTCCTCAGCTTTGCCATAGGATTTAGAATGTTTTAACTATGTCAAAATTGTTGCTATCCGTGTCAAAATTTACAACTGCCTAAAACATTTGTCACTTAGTAGTACTTGTAATGACTATGTTAGTCAGTATCTGACATTTGGTCCAGTGTATACTGCACCACTGAGATTCTGCACAGATTGCAAGTTACAGACATCACATAAATGCACACATCACACAGATCACACCAGTGACAAAACAGACATGGATATGAAGTGTTTTAAATGTGTCTTACTTACCTATTTTTAAAAGTTTTCATCTACCAACTTTATTTCAGCCCTCCTCTCCAATCTGCTTAGATCCAGATCATCTATAGCTCTGAATCAGAAGTTTGAAAATGCAGAGATCACAGCAAAACCCAACCATACCCTGCCCTGCTTATGAGGAATGAGTGTTCTCTACTTAAAGCCAACTTTCATTAGGCATACACTTTGAGTTTGTCAGAGACAAGTAATGTTAAATAGTCAGACATTAGACTCTGGTTTGTTTATAAGTGTTCATAGGGGGTAGAGGAAGAAAAAGTAACAGTTTAATATAATTCTACTGTTACTTATACAATGCAAAGCTCAAGAGGCTCAGGCAAAATCAGCAGAGATCTCCAGATACAGTGCCATGGCTGACAACTGCATTTGGCTCAGCTGCTTGCACAGCTCAGCAGTGGCTATCATCCTCACTCAGTCACACCAGCACAGCGAGCAGCACTTTGGAAAGAGGAGGATAACTCCTTAGTGGCACATCTGTTAGGTATAGATGGCATTCATCTGAGTAGCTTTGCCAATGGATGACATGCCAAGTCCTTTATGCTAAAAGGCTTGTGCTTGATGTTAATCATTCGCTCTCTGCCAGTTAACATGTTTATCCTTCTAGGAAATACTTTGATCTATACTGGCACTTGAAATATAGCAACCAATTTTACTAGACTGGAAATGAACAAACAAGATCTTGTGTGAATTGCCAAATGGCACAGCAAAATGCAGGATGCACGTTACAAAGGGTTGCTTAGCAACTAGAAAAGGCCATGCACTCCATTTCACTATTTTGGTTTGAAATAGAAAATAAATGGCCTTATAATTGTTTGAAATACACAGAGAACTAGAACATAATACTGCTCTGGAGAAATCTATTTGTGAGGAGTGGGTGTCATGGGAGACAGAGAGACTCTGAACTCAACATTCAATAGGTAAGTGAAGGAGAAACTGTGTTTCAGATATTTTGCCTTAAAATGTAAATGTAATAGTATTTTAAGTTCAGTGCATGTATTCCGCTATTCAACCAGGATTTAAAACAATTGTTTATTTTTACCTTTCATCTTCAAATGTTAAGAAGGTTAGGGTTTTTTTTGCAAGGAACACTATTAGCTCATCCTCCATTTGCATGCAAGGAAGTGGAAGTTTAAAGCAGTTGGTACTTTACCCATGCAAGTTGCCAAACTGTGACTACATCACAGGCATCCTGAATCTAAGCATTCTTAAAAAAAAATAAACCAACTTCTGCATAACATATCCTCCTTCCTCCCTCTTACACAGCTCCCCCCCATGCCTGGCAGCTGGTCTTAAATAGACAAATATAAATAATTGCCTAGCTACTTCATACAGGAAAAAGAGAGGTCTCTAAAAACTCCAAGCCCCCCTATTTTGAAGCAGCTACTCTGTCTATTTTCCAATATGAGAAACTGAGGCAGAGTTTAAAGAGATTCTTGAAAACCACATGAGAAGACTTTTGGGATTTGAGAGCAGAGTGTGGACACCTGAGATTTATCTTAGCGGTACAGTCATCTCCTCTTCCACCAATACTCTTTTTATACAGGGATCTAAAGCAGGTATGAGTTGCTGCTATTCCTTGACCATTAACATCCCCTTGCAAAGAGCATCTCTGTGCTAGCTCCCAGGCTAGGCAGTCCTGGTGCTGAAGCCAGTCCCTGTTGCAGCTGCAGGAGCCTGCCTAACTCGCTGGGAGTAGAGCGGGAGGAGCTCTGGGGCTCAGACCCCTGTGGCAGCGTGGTACAGCGGGGTGAGCTGAGCACAAAGGGGCAGCCACCGTCAGGAGGTGTCAGCTCCTTAATCTATGTAACGTGTAAGCTGCAGCCAACAGCCTTCTGCACAATACCCCGTGTGTCTGCTGAAAATGGCATTGCACATAATTGCATTGTTTGCTTAGAGGGGACCCGAGATCCGGATCAAGTTCAACAAGATCTGTGTCATTCTAGTTAGTGCTGTTTTTCAAGCACACCCCTTCAGTGAACAGAAAGCCCTCTGAATCCATGACCAGACTTTCAGGGCCAGATAACTGACTGTTTCGGTTTCTTTCAAGTTGTATCGCAGTAGACACACACAGTATCCTGGATACTGGACAGATTTAAAAGTGGGAAGAAAAGGTTCCAGCACACTGGCTTTAAAAGAGAGAACAAAGTAAGTGAGGATCAGAGGGAGGAAGGCGATCGCTATGACACTAAGACAATTAATCACTGCCAGATGTTAAGGGTCACACAGCACTGCATGCTGGGAAGATCAGCAGGGGTTCTTGGACAGGGAATAGAGGGAAAAAATAACCTGTCATGTCAGTGAACTAGTCAGGGGTTTAGGGTTCCTGTCGTTTAACTATTAGTGTGCTCTTAATAAAATGACAATGCATTGAAGAAGGGGAGGAAGATAGGGCAGTTGGCAGAAAAGAGGGAGTGACAGCTTAATAATCCCTGTCTGTCAAAAGCACTAAAAATACCATCCCAAATTCAACGTTCTTACTTTTGTAATGAACGCACCAGGGTTCCTGTTTGATTAATAGAACACTTGTTGACTGACAAGGACAAATGTGCACATGGTCTGAACACAGCCCTGTGCATAAATAATTTAAATTGCATGATGGCCAGAGCTCAGCTTGCACTGGGGGTTCTGTGATAAACCCCTATGTTTCAGCAGTTCGTAACTTGGCCCTAAAAGAAAAGCTCAGGCATCTTGAGCCTAAAGTTGGACTAAGAAGGCTGGTTGAATTCTTTGAAGTATGAAAAAGAAACCAGTACCCTCTGGAAATCACAGACCTTTGTTTGTGTAGTGGTGCCTCTGTTGGCTCCAGTTGTGTATCTCACATTACAGCAAAAAGAAGATGGCTTTATATCTTCTTTTCTTTACAATGATGCAAACAAATCTGTGTTCATGCTAAATCCCACTTATCCCCATTAACAGCAATGCTAATGACAGTAGTATATACTCACCACAAAAATGGAGGAATGATTGTTTGAAACTTTGGGAATAATTTTCAAAGAGTTTAGACCGTTTTGTAAATGGACAATTAGTTGCAAATATTTCCTGCGTTCCTTTGGGAGATGCATTTTGTTTAGTTAAGCTGTTATCAGACAATACCCCTTTCCATAAAAAATTCAGCTTTTACCTCAAAAAGGAACATTTTCTACCAAAATTGGCACATCTTTCTGTTCTTAAAACAATGTTTAAGAGCTTATATATTTACGGTATAATTATTTTTCACACCTGGGGCCCACACACAAACCTAATGGAAAGAACAGACAATTAGGACACTTGTAGATTTACTGAGTGTCTCAGGTAAGACCTAACTTCAACATTTTTATCAATTCTGTACAGGTATGACTGAATTCCCATATATCGTATCAGTCAGAATTAATTTTTTTCAGCATTTTACTCACTTGTGAACATGCAAATATTTGGCTGTTTTGCCATTTTTTTCCCTGTCAAATCAGAATAGTTCTTTAAATCATTATTCAGGCAGTAAAACAGCTACGCTTGTTTAAACAGTTCATCACAATATGATCAGAATGGAATAACCAAAATGAATATATTATCCGATTAAAAACTACAGCAGAAGTTCCCCAAAAAGCACATATACTTTGTCCATACTTTCTTTTCAATTTGTTGAGTCTTGTAATCAATCAGATTATTTTGGTGGCATGAATTTGAACTGAGAAAAATGCTGCTGAGCACATTCAATTTTCTTAGTGCCATAAAAGCTGAGACTTCTTTGTTACCCTTGAGGAGGAGGCTTTAGCTTTGCAGAATCAGCCTCTCAAGTCTTAAGAAAACAAGCATTTGTTTGTTGAATTTTTCTGAGTATTTTTTCCAGACATTGTTTGGGTTTTTTTTTTCAATTTATAATGTGAATTATATAAATAGCAAATTTATATACATTAAATTCTACAAACATATAGAACTGCTTATTTGTCCTCTTCCATATTAGATAATATTAAGAACTACATAGGTTTTCCTCAAAATGGAACCATTTTTGACATAGTAAGTCTCCTTCAATCACTGTTTATTAATTTCCTTGGCATGCTAGTTGGAGTTTTAAATTTTTCTTACAAATCTCCATAGACTAGGCAAGGCTTTGTAGCAACCTCTATGTTGCAGTTGAATTCTGTAAGGAAAAGGAGTGCAGAGTAGCAACTTTTGCAATTTGTTGAAATGACACAGTCAAGACTTATCCCCTTTCCTAGAATTGCCAGTAAGGTACTTCAGGCAAAATTTGGCTTGTGCTTCAGTTGCCTCCTTTGTTATACTGTACTGAGCCTTCCCTAGTCTTGTTAACCAGATCTCCATTCCAGTATTAATGGACATCACAGTGCTGCACTGTTATGGAATGTTTCAGGAGAAATGAGAGTCAACAGAGAACTTGTGCAACCAGCAACTCCCAACACGTGACCCCAGCAAGCACATCCTTCCTTAAAAACTGCAAAGCTGCACTCTGCAGAAGGCAAACCTGGTTTTACACATAGCTGCCCCTCTGCCCAGCAATGCTACCTCACTGAGCAACCTCCTCTGAAATTAATGGAGGAGTTTGAGTGATGCCACACATTAAGAGTTAATTTATAACAGTACTTCAGAGCATTAATGTCTCCTTTGTATCAACATTGATAGATCACAGCAGTTCTGCTGCACAGAACACAAAAACAAGCCCAGGAACTTGCTGCAAGCTCTCCATCCCTGAGTTTAGTTTCCTCTTACCTTTTCTTGTGGCAGGTCACTGGGTCAGAAAGACAAGAGATGGCTGCTGCTACTTCGCAAGGCTTCTGTTTGCTGGTGGCCCATGATGCTGTGTCACTGCAAGGGTGCTTCAAGGTGCAATGAGGCTTGAGATGCCTTGAGAGATGAAGAAGCCACCTGAGGTACTGAAGCACTGTCTGAATAAAAAGAAACAAGCAGAACTGGTTACACAACTACAAGGCACTTTCTTGTAGCATCTTTACCTTGTGGGACTGTTTTTCAAAAAGCTAAAAAATTTATAAATCCCAGATAGCTTTTGGGTATTTAATTTACCTCAAGAATTTCCAGCTTATAATGAAAGAACAACTGAAGGTGACCAGACAGACAATATACCACATTGCTACAGCTGTATGCAACCCAGTTCTGATGTTCCTTCAGCTTGGGCTCTATCAGCCACTTCATCATCCTGAGACATCTGGCAAATGACCAATACACTTTTATCTCATGTTTTTATGGATATAACAGCTTGAACAAGATTAAAAGTAAAATTTGCACCTTATAGAGATACATGTAATAGTCTGCATAATTGCACATGGGTTATGTTAGGAGGACATTCTCATACATGAAACTTCCTTTGCTCCACAGTACTTTCACACTTGAGTTTGTTTCCCACTTTAGATTGTTCCCCTAAATGGCACACCATGATATACTGCTAAACATTCTGCTGGATCAGTCATGCAATTACACATGTTTGTTCCACATGTGCCTACCAAAAATATCCAGAGCCTCCATATAGCTTCCTTCTTTCAAGTAAATAGCAAGGAATAGACTTTTTTATTCCTCTCCAAAACTTTAGTCCCAGTAGACAAAAAAGAGTTATAGTGCATGTGAAAAGCATGGACAAGAAAGAAAGCATAAAAGTTTTTTTGCTATTTAGCTTTTGTCATTTAAGTTATCAATCAAAAAGACTGGCCAGCAGCCAACTTGAATTTTAGTTAAATATATTTCTATTACACTTATTCACTTTGGAAAATACAAAATAATTGATCAAAACCAAAAAGCTCCCAGAATTTATTTTTAATTTAAAGCTTTTATATTAACAATCTACAACAAGCTACTTGTTCTGCTGTTGTAGGCAGACCAGGTTATCATTTTAATTTGTAACACTAAATAAGCCTATCTTTTCCTAAATGTGGGAAAAGTTTAAAAACTGATGTGAACAAAACATACCTCTTCTCTTCCAAAAGCAGTGATGAACATAATAATTTTTGTTTGAAAGTATACAAATAAGCAGATATAATTTGACCTATAGAATTATTAATTGTCAACTCCACCCACTTATTTGCAGGCTATAGTCTCAAAACAGTATCATAAGATTGATTATTCAGCTAGCAAACACACGGGTAAACTGTTAATTTTAAGAACATTTCATTAACCCAGTGGGGTCTCGGACTGAATGAAATGTCTTCATTTTTCTTTGTGCATCGTGGTAGAATATGTGCCTAAATTATCGATTAATTTAACCTCCTGCCTAAACTAGAGTAATGTGGCTGACAGGAGGAGAGCTGACTTTTAAACCCAGCCAGAGAGAGTGTTTTCTGACAGAGTTTTAACTGAACAACACACATGCAGACAATTAGCCAGGTTTAGATGCTGGCCCAGGCTAGAGAAGAGCTGGAAATACGTTCCTTGGTGTTTCTCATTAGGGACTGGCGGAGCGAGAGGATTCCACGGCGGGCTCACGGCTGCCCTTTCATCTCACAGCCCCGAGCACAATGTGCCCCAGATCCCCGGCTGGCAGCTCCCTGGGCTGGGTGCAGGCCCAAGGGGAAGTTGATTTTCCCAGGCTGTGATTCTGGGGCAGGGAAGGTGGCAGCAGCTGGGTCTGGCAGGGGTGCAGCTCCCTCTGCACACAGAGGAGGTTCCAGCACTTGGGAATCTCCCCAGGCTGCTTGGGGAGATCTCTAAGTTCCCTGACAAGAAATGTAGGCTTCCTCCCCTTACAAAAAAATCTAAACCCCAACCCCATCTGGTAACAATGCTTTAATTCACTACAATTCTGTTCAATCTGTTCAAGTGGAGCTACATCTGCACCTCCCTGAGCATTGGAAGGGATTTGCATTTGAAGTACAGTTTACTTCAACAGTTTGCATGGAATAATTAATAGCCTGTCATTTTTCCAAATGCTTTAACATGAATTTAATGTGTGTTAGTCTGTGAGCATTCTCAGACATCTGTGTGGCAGTGAGATAAAACCCAGACATATTGATAAGATGGTCCAAAAGGAAGCATTAAATGCATAAATACACTGTGTCTACCATGACATGATATGTTGACTTCTTCATACTTTTCACATACTCTCTTGAATTTTGTTGTTAAGCCAGGATTTCTCAGTCAGGGAAACAAACCCAACTCCAACATCCACTTTCCCTGAAGTTTTTCTAAACCACAAACTAGTACAATTTATGGAGGAGAATATCTGCTATGACACATTTTCTCAAAGGGAATATTTACTGGAGAATCCATCAGTCTAATGACATCTTTGTTAACCTCTATGTTTTAAATATTTTGCTATCCCTACATCAATTCACATTAATAAGTAGAGCCTGTATCAGTCAGTAGTAGACCACCATGTGAGGTTTTGTACTGAGAAAGCACTTCAGGTTTCATGTAAAAAGTATGCAAAGCTTGAATCTGTTTTATTATGTGCAAATTATTCCAGAAACAACTTTCTCCTTTTTACAGTAAACTTTGGCCTCTCAAAGATGCATTCTGTAAGCACCTTTGCACATGATGCTGAAGCAGAAAAATAAGTGAGATCCTTACTTTCCTTTTGCTCCTGTTTTATCTGATGACCCTCCTGCACTTAGTGATCCCAGAGAAACCCCAAACTACCTTTTATTATTCTCTATGACTGTGTTTTATTTCTCAAATATCTCCTGCTCAGTTACACCTAATTGCCTTTTGTGTTGCCTCTTGGAGAAGGAATGACTATCAGCCTCTTCAGATTGCTCTTCCCAATAATGCTACATGAATGATATAGTTACAACTCTCCCAGTACTTATTTTCTTATGGTTAAAACATCTGGAGCCAGTTACTAACATGAGAATCACAAAAGGAGGGAAGTTTCTAGCCCTTGTGGTTTCTGAGAAAAGTCACTCAAACATACCCTACAAGCCCACAAACCAGAAAATAAAATTGTAATTTTATTTATTGAAAATATCATTTATTTTCAGTACTAGAGGTGACAATACCATTTGGCTGATCCTCTCATCTCACTGTGACCCTCCTCCCTGACTCCTGGAATGGACACACAAGTGGGGTTTGGTCAGGGGAGGAGCATTTTCCTGTGCTAGGGAGGATGCACAGAGCAAGGACACTGCTGACCAGCTTGTGCCCATGCTGCAGCAGGAAAGAGCAGTGCCACCCTGCCCATGAGCAAGTGTGACTTGCAGCCCGTATTTATTTCCCACTGCAATATACCAATTGTTCCTATTCTCCAAGGCACTTGCCCAAATGTTTGCATGTGCAATAATTAACAAATGAAAGAGTTGTACAAAAGCAAAATTTAGGCTGATATGGAAGATTCACACGGTATTGGAATTTGCTCAGAGGTAAATTATGTTTTTTTAACACATGAAAAGTTCCAAGTAGTACACAACTACTTGTTTGTGAATCAATTTTACATTTTAAAGAGACATATAGATTTACAATTTGGAGTTAAAGATTTCTACAAAGATGTGTTAGGGAAAACTTTTAAGAGACTACAAGCCTTTTGGGTTTATATGGAATATACTTGATAGAAGAGGACCTCTTGGAAAGCTTCAGAAACCTTTAATATTAAGCCCTTGTCTTGAAATATTACTCACCTGAGTAAAATAACTGCCAACTGATCCTTTCAATCTGACAGGCTGTAACTTTCTGAGCCTGCCTTGGTCACACAGGGCCAAGAAAAGCTGTCTTACATTGTCCTTCCCCTCTTGTTCCTCCGTTTCTCAACTTTTTCATCTTTCTTGTGAATTTAGAGAGCTTCCCACTTCTAAACTCTCAAGCTTTCAAAGTGTGACACATGAGTTTAGCACACCTTGTTAACTCAATATTTCACAGAAAATACTTTCCTTTGGAAATATTCTAGGTCAGCCTTACTGCTACTATGAGAAGTAATTTTTCTAAGGTCTTGATACATGTAAGTACCAAGTATCCTCAAATTGTGAGATCAGAATTAGACCCTTTATGGTTTCTCCCTGGAAGCTGATAAAAAAAAAACAGAGGAGCAATTTTGGTCCACTGCCATCAATGGGAATTGTGAAGAGTCACAAAGGAGAAAATATTCCTAAAACAGAGATGGAAATAGAGAAGGAAAAAAATGAAAGGGCTTCCAGTCAAGCAGTGGATGTTGCTCCCTTGTGAACACACTCTGATGTTTTCTTCTTAACAATGAACAAAAGCTGTTTTCTCTGAGGAGGAGGACAGGAAAAGGCTCAAGCTAAAGCTAGGTCAGGACTGGTTAGCATGGAGCTTCTGTGTCATTGGTTAGAGTTAGTCCAGCTAAAAGTCTCTCTTGCCTGTCCCCAAGCCTTTGCTCTCCCTTTGAAGTCCATCTTGTCCCTCCAAAATGCTGCTTGCAGGGTGTCAGCCTTCTCTAAATTTCCCTGTCCCAGTGAGTTCTCTATCCAGTCCAGCCTTTATCCACACATCCCTATAATTCTGCTGCTTTTCCTTTCCAAACCTCCAGCTGCAAACTGTCCCACCTAAAACTAAAACACTTAGGAATAAATAAATGAAATTTTAATTTATAAACATTTTTTTCCAGCAGTGAATAAGAAAGCTTTATCTGAATGGATGTTGGTTCCTGCCACATTTGATGTCCTTGCTTTGAAGCACCTCTGCATTGCGCAACTTTTCATATATTTTGAGATTTTGGGGGGTTTAAAAAAAAATTTTTATCAACTTCTTCCTTTCAGACCTAGAGGTTGAAAAGAACTGAGGAAACACATAGTTTTTTCCAATTAAACATGCAGAGATGTCAAAGCCCTGAACCAGGCTCACTGTTTAGGCCCAGTGCTTTCAGCCAAGAGAAGCAGCACCAAGCCATTATTGCCTCTGAACCAGCTGGGGTGGGAGAGCAAAATTCCCCCTCGGGGCAGAGTTGTGGGCTGGGCATTCCCCCCTAGGGCAGAGCAACAGCTCCTGACCTCTTTGCCAAACAGAACCAGCCTTGCAGCAGGCATTTCACTCACCTTTTTAAAGGATGGCATCTGATAGCATAAGTTTTTTGTAAGTGTACTTATTTTATACATAAAAAAACCCAAAACCAAAACCTACAAAACCTTGAAAATAATTAGCAAAATACTAAAGCTGAACAAATATTTAGAAATAAATCAAATGTCTAATTTTTTTTTTGACTCTCAAATCTGAGATATATTTATCCTTTAGTGAGCTTTAACAAATAATGGTACACTAAAGCCACAGGTAAAGGTAGTACAGTTAGAATTTACATAAGTAAAAGCTAAGCACAGATTAATACAAGATGCAGATTTTGCTGGCTTGATGACTG